CTATATCTCTGGCATACTGCAGCCGATCGGGGTGCGGCATGACTTTCCGTGATCGGGAGAGTCCTGCCAGTCGACTGTCATAGAAAAAAAAGACATCCATTTTTTCACGATTTTCGCAAAAAATCATGATGGTTACATCATTAAATTTGCCAAAAATCGGCCTCATTTTCGTATTCGAGATTTTGATGCCCATCGACAGTCTGGATCCCCATGATCCTGCGAAAGTGGGTCCTTCGCCGATCGGCCCATAGCTAGCCGAGATATAGCCTTCGGAAGATTTGGATTTGCACATCAGTAAAATACTGGTTTCTTCTGTATGCTATATCTCTGGCATACTGCAGCCCGTCGGGATGCGGCAATTCTTTCCGTGATCGGGAGAGTGCTGCCAATCGGCTGCCATCGGCAAAAAGAACATCCATTTTTGCAGATCAGCCGATCTGGGCGTGACGTGTCTTTTCGTGATCGGGCGAGTCTTGGCAGTCATTCATGCATTCAGTCATTCCTTAGAGATATCCTTGCAGGTCTCACAGCTGTTCGAAACTTAACTTAAGCCATCTAATCTAGGATATCAGTACAGACCACCGACAAAGAGTACTCAATTCATTACATCTAACTTTATTCAGATCAAAACGGCGACTAGCTCTTGGCTAATGAGAGGGTGCTGGCCATGCTCACGCACTCGCTGGTGCCGGGACCCGCCTCCACGCGCTCCAAGGAGTCCACAGAGCGAGAGAGGTCCTCTTCCGGCCGAAGCTCTTGGTTTAGGGCGTGAGTGTTGTAACAGAGCACCAGACGGGTGTTGAGACCCTCGAAGATGCTGACCACACTGGGCTTGAGGTTGAAGAAGATGATCTTCTGGCGGCGCAGTCGGAAGTCATCCACCATGGAGGAGATTACCTTGGCTGCAGTGAAGTCAGCGGCGTATATGTAGGTGCAGTCGATGACTACCGGCAGGGTGGACTTGCTGCCCGACTTGAGAACCATGTTGCGGACAAATTCCACAGAGGGGAAGATGAGACAGCGGTCGGGGGTGATCTTTACGAAGCGGATGCCCTGCTGCGTCTCGAGCTGCTCCAGCGTCACCTTGGGACGGGCCGCGTAGTACAGGATGAAGAGCAGATTCACCCCGATGGCAACCATGATGCCGATCTCCAGAGGCAGCACCAGGCAGGTGACGAAGGCCAGGATCCCAGGCACTAGATCGGAGCCTGCAAGGTTGAGAGGAATCATATGACAGGGGAATGGAGCAGGACTCGCAAAACTCACGCTTGCTGCGCCACATGGGCGTGACGACCTGGTACTGGACCTGGAAAATTACCGCCGAGATGATGATAGCGGCCAACACCGCCTTTGGAATGAAGGCAAAGTACTCGGTGAGGAAGTTGAGGGCCAGCACCACGATGATGCCGATGTACAGGTTGGACATGTTCGTGCGACAGCCGCTGGCGTTGTTTACAGCAGAGCGGGCCAGGCCGCCGTTGCAGCGATAGCCGGAGAAGACGGAGGTAGCAATGTTGCCAACGCCACACGCGATCATCTCCTGGGTAATGTCGATCTGCTTTCCCTTGGCGAAAGCCTTGCACACGGACATCGTCTCGAGCAGGGCCATGATGGGCACAATCAGCAGGCCGTAGCCCAAGCTCTGCACCATCTCCAGAAAGTTCTGGCCGGGCACGGGTGGGATGCCGGCAGTGGCATTGCCCGACTGTGCTTCGATGGAAAAGGGCGGCAGCGAGGGTGTTGGCATGCCCTTCGGTATGTGGCCGGTGAGACGGAAGGGATTAGTTCCCTTGTCATCCAGGTGCATGGTGATCAGCGTGAAGATGATGACGATCGTGGCATTGCGGGAGGTGGCCAAGAACTTGATCACTTGGTTGAAGACCTTCTGGAATCCGTTTCTGCGAGACTCGTCCTTAGGGCCAATTGCGATTCTGCCAAGGCTGCGCATCGCCAGCAGCAGGAAGAGACAGCCGAAGCCTAGGCACGTGTCCGCCACTCGGATGTTTTCAATGTCCTTGAACATGCTGATCCATGTCTCCAGAAATGAGTCACCATCGCTCTTCACCCCCAGCATCGATCGCATCTGTGAGGTGGACACGATTAGGGCGACGGCGCTGGTAAATCCCGCACTAACCGGGCCCGACACAAACTCCACCAGGCAACCGAGCTTGAAGATAGCCATGAAGATCTCTATGATGCCCGTGAGGAAGGTCAGCAGCACGGAACGCTGCCAGGAGCCCTGAGCGAACTGGAAGGTCATGAGGGAAGCCACTGCCGTGCTGCCGATGGTACTGTCCTTGCAGGTGCCCAGCAGGACGTACACGAAGCAGCCCATGAAAGAGCCATAGAGTCCATACTGGGAGGAAGATGTTTGTTAAGTCGGATGCGTAATGCCTGTGCCTTAAGAGAATGCAGGTTCTTCGGTCTGATGCTTCTACCGCTATGTTCGATCATATAATTTTTATCTACGGAGACAAGCTCCCCCTGATACTGACGGACTGTTCGATCAAACCCGAAGTTGCCAACCAACTCGACCCATAATCTTCAAGTGGTCTGCGAACACCGCTCGAACCGCTTCGAACCTAGGAACCCCGGAACTTGCTAACGAGCTCGGATAACAAACTTCTGATGATATCTTAATTGAGTAAAGAGTAGCCTTCTTTTTCCACTCACCTCTGGGGGTAGACCGACCACGCCCGAGTAGGCCAGACCTTGGGGAATGACCGTAAGCCCCACGGTGAAGCCGGCGAGAAGGTCGCCGATGCAGTCGCGGGTGTTGTAGCGGGGCAGCCAGGTGAGGATGGGCAGGCGCTTCTTCAGGGTCTTCTTACGGAAGATGCTGCGGACGTAGCGCGAACAGCAAGAGGCGGATGACTCATCCTGTTTGGAGGCCTGCAGCTGCTCGAGGCTCTTGGACTTGGAGGTGCGGTGGTCGGTGATCAGAATGAAGTCCGTGGACGAGCTATCGAACTGCGCCTCCAGGCTCTGGCTCACCTCCGCCTGCTTGCGGAACGTTACCTCGTTTTCCAGCGTGGACATTGTGGACTGGGCCTGTGATCTCGTATATGCGCACGGGCCAACTGATCTGATGGAGCCCCTTGGACATGCGGACTCAACCTGATGCTGCCCGACTGCGTCACGCGCTCTTATCGCCGGAGGCTGTTTGCCCACCGACCGGCGCGTGCGTGTGCGGGAGCGGGATACAGGTTGTATCTTTCAGTTATCTCCACAGCGCATCCATAAACACGCCAAACTCTACACAGTAGCGATCTTGACAATGACCAGCCCCACTCCCAGTCCTAGCCCCAGCCCCAGCCCCCTTCCATTAGCCGCACAGTCCGCTCCGTACCTTTGTTTGCAGTGGAATTCTCGGGCTGTCCAACTGGCACAACTGTCCCCATTGATTTGAATTTTTCCATTAATCAACTGAGCGCCTCTGTGCTCTCCATATTGATCGGGTAAATGTTTGTCTTCACACTTGTTAATCTGTGATTAGAGTGATATGTTTTCTCGGGTAATAATCGAAAGTAAGGGGTTACAGGGCGGTCGGTCGAGAGCTGTATTTCATCAGGCGTGTGCATATAGTTTTCTGGAAAGAAATTGCAAGAGTAAAGTACTCTTCTTATCGGGAACGACTCTTAAATACGAACAGAACAGGAAGGAAGCACACATACATATTTACAAGTATACCTGTCTGGGAAGCAGATCCAGAAATGGTTCCTAGAGGGAACCTTGTGGAAATCTTGTGAAATTCAGCTGCAGCTGAATAAAGTGAATAATACAGGGGACATCAAAAGTCCTTCCTATTAGACTATTAGAAGAGCATTGCCACAGAAGACAATCAGATGGACTCCTCAAGACATCAGATCAACCAATAAATTTCGATCAGGAAGTAACACTAGTTTGGATTGTGCTTAATGCTTTCGTCAAGTGCATTTGTGATAGAGGTATCCCCAAGGAGCACTTGAATCTACATTCGACGCAGAATGGGGACCTTACTGCGCATTAAAAGGATTTCCAAATAATTTCAAACATTTGTATACGTACACATGTGGATTTTTGAATCTACAGTAAGACTTTTTCCTATTTAAGACGACAAACAATCGGTACATATTTTTATATTTTTTTTGTATTTAATTTTAATGTTTTTTGACATGATTTTTAAAAATTGTATTTTAAAAGCATTGCATTATGTCATATAAAGTACGATATATCATTACATTATACAATCGTTTGTATTTCATTTGTATTGTAGTGTATGTTTTGTTTTGTGTGTTTAACCATAAGTTAAATTTATGTTTAAGCAAATTTCATAATTCAATAGCAGTAATTGTTTCAGAGACCATGGCTATATATGTATCATATATATATAGTAGTGTATATATGTAAGTATTATGTTTATGTGTGTGTGTGCACTGCATGCATCCATGAAGATACTCCTCAATCGTGCGACTAAAACTAAAAATCGTGAAGCATTACCCCGCAAACGGGTGGTAGTGCTGTATAAAAGGAGGACAGATTGTATAATAAAATAGAATAAAATAAAGAAAATTATCTGCGCAGAGGGCGTGTGTGTGTGTGTGTATGTATGAGGCTGCAGCGTAAACGTCAAGAGCAATTGCTTAAGGAAAGAATTTCTTTAGAGTCCACACTCCACTCGACTCCTGGCACCAGGCACACTCTCTTCCCTCTCCGTGTATTTGTGTGTGTGTGTGTATCTATGTGTGACATCAATATTCGCCCAACAAACGTAACAAACAAATGATTATGCATATGCATGTGAACCGAACACAAACAAACTCGAACCGAAATCAATCTGAAGAACGCAACAAACATTGAACGGGGATCGACAGGGCACAACCCCTCGTAAGAACGACAACAATTATGAGAACATTATGTTTAGACTATTGCATGACAGCATATGTTGTGTGTATGTATGTGTAGGGTAGCATCTGCGTGTTCCAGTGTCCAGTGTCCAATGGATTACAGCTACCGCCTCCTACTGCCACATGCCAATGGTGTAGTTCCTGGTCAGGTGTCCCATGCGACGCTGACGTCCAACTGCAAAACACACGAATGATTCGATTAGTAGGGTGTTACATAGAGCTCCACTTGCCGACTGTTAGCAAAAGAGTGGTTAATTCTATGCTTAGGGATAGAAAGATACTTGGCACAAGACAGGGCATGACGCACAACAGTTTAGAACACCCCAGCGGCAGTGCTTATTTGCACAGACACACGTACATTTGCCGTTGTTGGCTTAAGGCTTACCTACCAGACGCTAATCAAATTTTGCGTCCCCATAAATATTTGCTAACCTAGTTGGGGTTTATTTTCGGCCATCTCCGCGATAAAGTGTTAAAATTAACGCCACTCCAGTGCTGGGGTCACCATTTCAGCATAGATGGTAGCTTATTATTCTTAGATTTATCTTAGGGGATCGATTAATAGCTACTTCTAATGGCAACAGTTAGCAACTGAATTCATCTGCCCTGCCGCATAGTATATCGATACAAGCGTTGCACATGCTTTACCATTAAAACCGATATATCCTTGGTACTAGATGGAGTCCCAGCGCATACACTCAACTTGACTTGCATAGATGCTGCGATAGCTACGATAGCCCCTCCCACTACTCATATAATTGTACTTTGACAATCCTTACACAGCACTTAGCTTATCTTAGTTCTTAAAACGGAATCTATCAAATCAAAAGATACTTTACGTACTGCAGTGGCCACACATCATTCTTCGGTGTTAGTTCACAGCTGGTTGGCTGGCAGATGGTTTGTTTCGGGGTTTGGGTTGTTTTGGTGGGGACTTTTAAATTGAACTTGGACTTGTGTGGCATTGTTCTTCGGTTCGGATGGGATGCCAGTGTAGTTCTTTTTCTTAAAGCTGGTGGTGTGGTTCTTGTTGTACTAGTGCTTGGGTGGCTGTTTGTTTGTTTGTTTGTTGGTTGGTTGGTTAATCAGAATATGGTGGTAATCAGAAGCTGGACAAACAAAGACACACAACACACACATAGAGATGGTTTTCTGCCTTTATTTCTGTTCTTGGTTTCATGTGGCATCGTGTTGCTGGTTGCTGGTTGGTTGGTTGCTTGGTTGCTTGGTTGCTGCTCTTTGTGTTGTCTTTTTATTTACGCTGATTCAGGCGTTTCACGCGTACTGCAAACATAGAAAGAGAGAGGGAGGAGGTGCGTGGAGTTGGCGTGGTTGTGGTTTGGTGGGGCACAAAGGAAGAGAAGAAACAAATACAGATTGGCATTAGTCAAGTGGTGGCAACAAAGAGTGAGATCAAGAAGGGATTAAACAATGTTAGTTCAAATGTCAAACAGTCAATCAATCAAACAATCATCAAAATCAAAGGATCGAGCGGGTACAACATTCAAGTTTCAGTTTTAGTTCAGCGATACATAGTAGTGTCTCTCCAGAGCGAGACAGAGAGGATCGCAGATCGTTTAGTCTGGGTTTTCGCTGGAAGCTTATAGTTTAGTCTGGGGATTATTCGGGTTAGTCGTTTACTAGCTTGGGAGCTGCTGCTGCAACAACATCAAAGTACTTAGACAGAAGAAGGAGAGTACCAACTGTTCGCCGAAGGACACACGATGAGGCTGCTGCTGTTGCTGTTGCTGTTGCTGCTGCTGCTGCTCCTGCTACTGTTAGTTGTTCTTATTGAATTATGAAATTGTGTCAAACATTCTATTATGTTCGCTACTTTGAGTATTTTAATTGTTAACGGGTTCGTCTCTTTGGTTCTGGTGATGGTGGGGGATTCACTTAGATCATACATCGCAGTTTAATTCCTATACGAAGAGAACATCATTAGAGAGGGCTGCTCCGTGGATCGCTGCACTGCTGTCGGATATGTGGCTTGTGTTTGACATGCAGATGGTTGGGGGATCATGCAAAAATATGTGAAACTAAAGCGGAATCACCGGAATCATGCAACATAAACGATAGCGGCTTTTGGGGATGCTTGATGACTGTGATTTGTGGCAGTGAGTACAAACGGAAGGAAAGGCAATAGGTGTTTCTGTGGTTACTCTGATGATAAAGAAATGCCTATGATTAGTAACAAATTTGGCTGCTCCTTGCTTGGGCATACCCTAAAGTTCAGGTTTAGTTTACAGCCGTTCTTTAGCCTCCTGGGGTTATGCGAACATTCAACAAAATGCACTTTCAGGGGGGCTACGGCGGGCTATGGGTATTCCTAATGGATGGATCTGCAGAAGAAGCCATTCAGAGATGGATATAGGATGCTTGCTGTATTGGAGATCAACGAGGGGTTAGGGGAACTTGCAGTTGCGCTTTTGATTAGAGGAGCAGAGCAGAGTAGAGAGTAGAGAGAGCAATTCGTGTTCATATATACCTGTGTTAAGCATTAGAGAAAATTATACACGTAACACGTACAAATGTGGATCGCCTAAACGATTTCTGCTGGGATTAGAAGAGGCCTCGACTCGACTCGACCTCGAACATATCTTCAAACAAACATCTACGCGATACGATATAGTATGTATTTTTAAGCTGGTACTCGTATATACTCGTACGTATAATGATATTTCACTTTCACTTTGGGTTTTATTTGCTTCGCTTCGCTTGTTTCTTTTTGCTTAGTAAGAGTCTCTCTAGAATATATATGTACGCAGATATGGTTCGACTTGGACTTTATCCTTCCTTTTATATTTATATTATTTTATACACGTTCTTTCGTTGTTATTTTGGGGGGTTTCTTCTTCCTTTCTGTACTCTTCTTTCCTTTCCTTTCCTGTCCTTAATTTTCTTTCTTTCTTTCGTTATATTTAGATTACAAAACGCTTTAAAAATGGTTTAGGTTTAGTTTTAGTTTGATTTCTTTGGTTGATGCTGATCTCCTATTGAATTCTTGTCGATTTTCTATGCAGATTATTGAAAAATCTGAACTGCAGTCGCAACTCAAGATCTTTTCTTACTGTGAACAGAAAAAGAGAAACAGAAACAGAGGGGGAGAGAGAGAGAGGGAGAAACACATGAACAAATAAGGCTTAAACAGGACACAAAATATGGCTTGGACGAAAAGATAGATAGAGCGAGAGAGAATACGATTGCTGACTGATTTCTGTAATCTTCGGATTGAAGATGGGGGACGGGGGACTGGGGACTGGGTACTGGGGGATACATATAAAATATACAAGATAGATAGATACAAAATAGAGTGCTGTGCAGTAGTGTGGTGCGTGTGTCTGTGTGCATGGGTACGAATCGAGGCTGAGGCAGTGGCCGCTGCGATAAGTGGGGCGGCTGGCTGGCAGGGGTTAGTGGCACGAATCGTATGATCGAATGGATCGTGGCTGGGATTATATACAAAGGACCAATCGATCGCTGGACGAAGCGACAACGAAGGCTAACAACGAAGGCTATCAACAGGAATCGATCGTAGTATTGTGTGTGTGTGGTATGTACATATTCTTGGTCTGCAAGTATCGGATCGGATCGGATCAGATCGGGTCGGATCGTGTCCAGAGTGTGTGAGTGTGTTCGGTGGGGCAACATCAACGAGAACAACATCAAGGGTTAACCAATGAGGCGAGACACACAAGGGGATTGGGTCGAATGACTGTGTCTGTACATATTGTATATTATATGGATATTCTTGTGGTTTCTGTGGCTCTCCAGCATTCTGTGGTCTGTGTGCGGTGCTGCAGGGTGCTGCAGGGCTCACTCACGTGTGCGCTTGATAGACGCCCTCGTCGTCGTAGTTGGGCGTGACGGACCGACTGCCGGGCACCACCATGTTGTCCGGGTCGAATTCCGGATCGAAGGCATCGCCACCGCCGCCGCCGCGGATGACCATGTTGTCGGGATCGACCTCCACATCGTAGTCCGGCGGCGGTTGCGGCGATGGCGAGGGCGACGGCGTGGGCGTGGTCGAGACCGGATACTGGCTCTCGCGCTCGATCTCCATGTTGCCGGGCAATATCAGCTTCGGCAGCTGCGGCTTGAGCTTCTGGACGCGGAAGACTGCAAACGCGGCGGCAGTGGAGTGTTTTTTTTTTGGCGAGTGGGTTCACGGACGGGGGAATAGAGTTTGTCGCATTTTACAACAGATACAGAGATAATTACAGATAATTGGTTAATGGTCATCGCTTAGGCAAACAACTGTTCAATCTAATGGTAATTACAAAGAGGGGGAGAGAGAACAAGGGGGAATAATACACAGAGGAGGAGTGTGGATCCGATTCTCGATCGGAGGACAGATAGAGACTAGAGCTATACACGAGGTGCAGGCAGATGTGTTAGCATGGAAATGGAAGTGGAAGAATGACATATTCCGACTCTTAAACGTACGACAATCACCCGACTTAAATATGTACCATATATCTTATGAGAGTAGGACACCTGGCCGCAGGGCATCGATCTATCGATGGAGTGAACGATAACGAGGTGGAGAACGATAACGATAACGTGAAACGATAACGAGAACGAACGCAACGAAGGCTGGAGGCGGGATGAAACGTTGTGTGAGAATGGATTACGATGTTAACGGCTGGAACGAGTGGAACGATGATGATTCTGATGAGGCGTTGAGGCAGGCCAAAACAGTTTTACCTGGTTACCAACACTCAAAATAGAGAGATTTATATATAGAGAGTGGGAGAGAGAGAGTATAAGACAGAGAAGGGACAACGGCACAACATTGGAGGCGATTGGAGATGGTAGCCATGGGATGGACGGGTTACCAAGCGGTTGGCTCTCTCTTTTAGATTTCCTTCTCGTGGTCAGCCCTTCCTCCGGCTCCAGCCACTGCTGCCACTGCTGCTACGGCTGCTGCGGTCGACGACGATGATGATGATGATGCCTGGAGATTGCGAACCAGGCGACCTGAAGGCGAGACATGATCAGAACCGACTCTGGGATTAGTAGGGCTCCAGGTGCGGGCCGTGACGAACTGCTCGAAGGCAGCCAGGCTCTTGGCCTTCGATGGTGAGATGTCTTGGGCTTGGTCTTGATCTTGATCTTGATGAGAGCTGGATGATGCTAGCGATGATTCGGGTGCTGATGTGCAAGCTGTTGCAGTGATGGTGGCAGTGATGGTGTTGGACGCTAACGTACCTTGTTGCAATTCACCTAAACGCGCGAACGTGAAGCAACTCAATCAATAACTCAATACCTAATGTTTGAAGGGGTCGGTTTCGTGGGGAAGGGGGAGAGAATCGAGTCCTAGCGAGTGGAACCGCGACGACTGCAAGAACCAACGATGCCTGATGGTGCCTGCGGAATAGTCCTGCTGGGAGTTCCTGCTGCGGAATTCGGGGAATCCGCGCTGGCAGGGACTGGAACTTACTTCTGTCGATGTTGCGCTGGAGGTGAGCGGCCACGCGGTGGCGGGCATCGTTGAACTCCAGATGCAAGCCGAGTCGCAGCAGCGAGGGGTTCTTCTCCACCAGATCGGTGATCTCCATCTCGATCTTGTTGCCCAGCACCGCAGATCGCTAAGAGATCGAACAGAACAGAACAGAAACAGGTTAAAGGAGGGACAGAAACAGGCCAAGAGAAAGAAACTGTTACCTGATTGGAGGCCCTAAACTCCTCGATGGTGTGGCACTTGAGCAGGGCTTGCACCAGCTTCACAATCACGGGCGGACTGATGAAGTTGGTCTCGACGTTTAATACTCTCAGGGTTTTGCTCTTCTCGATCGCCTCCGCGAGCAGGAGAGCTGTCTTGTCAGTCAGGCCGACGTTTGTCAGCGAGAGGACTTCCAGATGTTCGTTCTGAGGCAGTGCGGCGAAGAGTTGTTCGAGCTTCTCGTCCGAGATGTTCTGCAGAGAGCGAGCGAGAGAGAGAGAGACGGTTAGCCATCACAGTCCACAGGACGAAAGAGACAAGAGTATTTATGGTAAACCTTTATGTTGTTGAAGTTCAAGTCGACCAGCTTGGAGTCGTCGTCCTTGACGCGCTTGATCGACTCCTCCACATCGGTGGCGTTGGGCGGGTCCATGGGGAAGAGCTTCTGCTGCGTGGACTTTGTGATGCCGTCCCAGCCCATGCCCACGGGTTGGCCCTTGTTGAGCAGCGAGGCGTGGTACTGGTCCTGGTTCATCATCGAGTGGAAGCCCAGGATGGCGGCCAGATCGATGATCTCTTCCTGCGTGGCGTCGTTCAGCGCGTGCTCGTACTCGTCGCCCATGTCGATGGCGATCTGTTCCTCGGCCTCGATCTCGCGGGCATCCCTCGGCGGGGGCACCCACTTCTTGCCGCGCACCTTGCCCTGGACATACGGCTCGAACTCGGGCTCGTCGGGCGTCTCGATGGCCTGCTTGTTGATGTGCTCGATCAGCTGCTTGCGATTGAGCGGCCCGGTGGCATCCTTGCTGCACTCGTAGCTGCAGCGCTGGTCAGGCGGCAGGAAGTTGTCCTGAAACCAGAGAAACCACCAGGAGGCGGATGTCAGAAAGGGAACTAGCCCTAGCCTCTCTAGAAGGATACTCACATCAGGATCCACCTCTTTGGCCAGTATGGTGATCTCTTCAGGCGAGAGCTGGGCCAGCAGGCTCTCCACATCCACATCATCGTACTCGCTCAGATCCTTGCCATACAGCTTGGCGGGCGTCGTGAGCGTGGTTGTCTTTGTGGTGGCTGAAGTCTGTGAAAAGGGGGAAACGAGAGGAAAACGGTGAGAAAATTGACTCATTCTGATGATTGAAAGGGAAAAGAGGCTCCCAATCGTGGGCCCAATTTGGGTTCCCTTTTCCCTGGGGATTTCCCTTCTGGTTTTCACTTTTTTCCCCCACTCTGCTGCAGCAACAGCAGCGAAAGTTGGCTTCTGTTTCTGGTTTCTGCAGACTGGCAGTGGCAGGGGCAGTGGCGGAGGGGACGGACTTGGACTTTCGAGGTACTTTTCGCACATTTGTCTGTGGCTTCAGCTTGAGGCTCGCTGGCGGCGGCTGCGGGGCGCGTCGCTTCACCTTTGGCACCGGCCGCAGCTTGATCTTCTGGAACTCGGCCTCCATGGGTGTCTGTTCGTGTCGCTGTCTCCGCTGCTGGGAATAGCTGGGAAAAGCTGGGAGGCGGAAGACCGCGAATCGATATGGAAAATTGCAAATCCAATTATGAATGCAGCGCGCGTGTTGCGGGGCGCGTTGGGGCTATATCTGCAGCTCTCTGTGGCTCTGTGGCTCTGCGGCTGTGGCTGGGACTGGGTCTCGGCACCGACTGACACACCAAAAGCAGCAGACTGCCGAATTAAGGCGAGCCGCAACGCCATCAGACAGTACACAGCAGACAGAGTCGTGCAACGCTTGCTGCAATCGCTCAAGTCAGTCATTCAGTCAATGAGCCACGGAGGCATGGGGGCACGCAGGCACGGAGGCAAGGAGGCAAGAGCCAGGCCAAGAGCCGAGTCACTGAGCCACTGAGTTGCTCCAAGAGTTGGCAATGTAAATTAGGGGCTCATGCAACAGGGCAGGGGAGAGGCAGCCAACTGTGGCATGACTCTGCGGCGGTGTCTGTTTGCACTTCAACGACTTCCACTTCGTCGTCGGCGGAGGCGGACGCGGAGGCGGGGGCGGCGGCATGAAGGTGGTTGGGGGGTTCTCCAATTGATTGTGCAACACGGATTGCAGCAGATCTCAACATAAATTAGACCCAAATGCTCGTAAACTCAAAGAAGGCCACAAATTGCGGCCCAAACGGAAGTAAAAGCCACACACTGCTGATGGGTGGAAAAGCTGAAAGAAAGCAGGGCTAAAACGAACCAAAAGAAAACCCTATAATTTACATAAAACAATTGCAAGAAGGCAAAACCGAACAGAACAGAACAGAACAGTGGAGAAGAGAACCCTCTTCCGCTGAGGTTTCTGGCAAGCAAAGCGTGACCCAAACAAAGACAGACCCACTCGGCCGAGGAGACTCTCTTGGCCACACGAAGCATTCAACATTTAAGCCGATTGGAAACCAGTTTCTGCTCTCGAGGGCAGAGTGCCAGAGCCACAGCCAGAGCCAGAGCCAACGCCAAGATGAACAACCATTAAACTCGAGAAGCTTAAACTCCTCTCTGCCACAGCCAGCGCCATAGCCATCGTGTTGCCTGTTTACTTAACGCTTTTAACGGGTGCACGGCTGACGGGTGACGGGTGACGGGCGACGGGCGACGGGCGACTGGTGGTAACCGGTAACCGGTTTCGTAGGTACAGCTAACAGAAACAGCAGCAGAATGCCGTGCCGTGCCGAACGAAGTAATAGCAAAACAAACGCCACAAATGGAGCCACAGTTCGGAGGAGAAGTGGAGGAGCCTGTGTGCGGAGGGAGCACTACCAGAGATACATGTTGTATCTCTCAGATACGACTAAATGCCAGCGATTGACCCACTTTTGAGTGCCGAAAGATGGAGGCAAGGGAAGGGAGCGCTACACTGCGATTATGTCAGCTTCTAATGCTCCAAGAGCGCCACGAACGATTCAATTCGAGTGTTGACAATTCAATTGAGAATTGAGGACAGTGTCCACTCCACCGCGTGAACGAATACCCCAAGCAGAGTCACGTCACTCGCCTCCAACCCCCTTCCCACTCAATTTCAAGGCCCCCCTCGAGAGACTATAGCTATAGCCTCGCGTGAAAAAACTGTAAACTGTAGAATCGTAAAAAGTAATTGCAAAAATAATTGAGTTCACGGCACTCCAGAGACAGAGACACATCTCTCTCTCCCCCTCTCTCTCTTTACATCTCCAATCCGAGCCACAGCCGGAGAGCGGAGAGAGAGAGAGAGAAATGAGATGAGCAAATACATTTCTGAAGCTGAAATAAGGGGAGAATACCCTTCATGGATGTGGAGGAGGAGGTGTTTCAAGATAGAGCATCGTAGAGATCTGTAAAGATATGCAACTACTACTTCTTCTATATCCTTTGGGAGGAGCTGGTTAATATTGGGAGACGGCTTAAATAATCTCTTGCCCCTGGCCAATTGGCAATATATGGATTACATCTTAATAGAGCTCTAGAGCCCCGAATTCAAAAAGAATCGATAGTTAAGATACCTCAATAGCTGTAACACGAACACATCTTGAATGAACCCCCGGCCGATACCCTCACTCGAAATCGTTCGTTCTCCCAAAGGAGGGCAGCAGCAGTTGGCATTAGAACCATCGGACCATGCAAATCCACTGTTAACAAGACGTGAACGTGAGGCGATGTACGTATCTGTCAGATGCGAGTCGTCAACACGTTTAAAATCGTGAAAAGTGGCAACTGGGAGGCAGGCGGGCAAGCAGCTGTGGATCTGTGCATCTGTGCATCTGTCAGGCCGTTTTGAGCCAATTAGAAGTTGCGAAACGAATAAACTAAAGCCACTCTTCAGCCGCAGACATAGCCACAGCCACTCTTGGCTCATTAATTAGAACGGGGTCTTGCAACGGTAGATGTACGACTACCGTTTTCGGCTTTGGCTTTTGGCTTTTGGCCCTCCTTCAGCTGTCAAAGTGAGTACTTGGCCAAGAGACTCTTGTTTCGAGGTCTAATAGCTGGCTTTCTGGCAAAATGTTCTACGACTACGACTCATTTGATACGTAAATTGCGTCTAGAATCACATGGATGATGATGGTTTAGAGAGGTCCAAATTCAACAGCCATTAAAGCCAGCAGGTGATTGCAGTAGACACCCACAGAGATTCAAATGTATCCCACAAAACCGTAACCAAAACAGGAACACACATCGGACAGTGGACATCAGATCAGGGGGGCATAGACCCACAAAGAGAGACCACAAACAGAAACCGGGTGGATGTGGATCGCCTCCTCCTCGTGACCCACAAAATGAGACCGAAAAACGAACCAATGAAACGGAGCAAACATGTTTTTCGGTGATTTGCACAAATGTATCTTGTATCTTGTACTGTGCGGTATTCGGCATCTGGTATCTGGTGTCTGGTATCCGACGGATGGATGGCTGCGTTGGGCGTTCGGTCAAGGTGCTTAGGCGATTTAATTAAGCGAAACGGGACAAATGCCACGAAAAACAGCAGCAAGGGGCGGCAATCGGCGGACAGCGGTCACGTTTGCAGCGAAAAATCTCACATTAGCCGCAGAGTAGAGTGTAGTGAAGGAAAAACACTGTGGAAAACACACACACACATACCAAAGTGCATGAAAAGTTGGTCAGACACGTCCCAAAAGCAGGTAGAGTGCCGCAAGGGGAGGTGGCTGTTGGATGGGAGATGGCTAATGACTAATGGCTTTAAATGCGCGAAACGCGACCGAATCTGGCCTAAAGAGCAGACAGAGGGACAGCAGCACACAGATGCTGCAGCGCATCTACAGATATGGCTATGAGTGCTACCAGGAAATACTGCAACACTGCAGAAGAGGAGGAGGAGAGGAAATCGTGCCAGTGCCAGTGGCAGTGGCAGGGGCAGGAAATTTCGTGCAAGAAACGTTAATTACATCTCGGCCAAGTTCGCTTTTATGGTCACAATTAGTCGTGAAAAACCAGAAACCGAAGGTGAAAAGATGCCTCCTCCTTCCGTCTGGCAGTGAAAAGATGCGTCCGTGTATCTGTGTCTGTATCTGTATCTGTGGATCTGCGGATCTGTGTCTCTCGTTTTCGAGTGAAAATGTCGTTGGGGAAATACTTTCTTGCGGTTTCCCCGTTTTCCATTTTTCCATTTTCCATTGATAGATTGCCATGTGGCGGATGGCCTTGCAGCACTGCCGGCACTTCCTCCTCTGCTCGAAAAATATGTTTTATTGCATTTTCCGTGCCAATCCTTTGACAAAGTTTCCTCCCCACCCCACACCCCCTCCTCCTCCTCAAACGAAAGTTGCAGCATAAATCCGAAATATGCAAAGCCACTTTTCATGGCTCAGCAGGAAAATCTATGAACTTCTTTCTACACTCAACGAAACTTGTTTAAATTCTTTCCATTGTGGATAAACACAAGTATCTTTGAAGTAAGCAATTCCAAAGATAGTTTTATGTACAATTTCATTTGAACTTTGTGAAACATTTGAAGAAAATGGCAAAAAATTTCAGAGCTTTCAGTGGGCGATACACGGATCCAACTACTCTTCTACTCTGAGCACTAGAAAAAGAGAACATGGGATACCATTTAGTATGTTCTTGCTAAGGGAGAGAGAGAGAGAAAGAGCAAAGAGCGGGAGCAAAGTCCGCTTCGTAAATGAAATGAAGATCGGATCAAGAGATAAGACGACTGCGACTCACTGCGATCGATGCAGAATAGGCAGGCAAGGCACTGAAGGACAGAGGGAACGGCTGAGAGAGCAAGAGAGGATCAAAGCTCGCATCAATCGAAAGAGAAACCATTGGTGATTCAGTGCAGCCACAAGCACTGCAGTGAAGCATTGAGAGAGCATGTCCGTGCATGTCGACAGCCAGAAACAGAGACGGAGATGGAGAAAGGGAGCGCGTACTCCATCATTTTTCGCTTGAAGAGTCAGTGTATGCAGTGTATGCATGGTTTTTTGGGTTTTTTCGAGTGCATAGAACCAACACCCACTGCCATTGACAGCACCCTCCCAGCCCCAGGGGGAGTTCCTATCCCATCGCCCTGGCAATTGCATATTCAGTGAACACCAATATGCTTTTATATGGCTATATTTTATGCAATTTGCATATGCCAGCGGCAGGCAGAG